CAATGGCTTGGTTTACATCGTGCACTTGATACACATACTACCCTTATAGAAATATCATACTAAGAATCATTGATAATTACTTATTATCCAGTATTTACTGAAAATAAATAATTATCAATGGGTGCGTTCAGGAGACACAACGGTTACACAACGGTTGAATAATTAGTCAATGTAATTGGTCTAAAGTTAGGGATCTAACAGTAAGGACCAATAATCATTGACTGCTCGCTGATCAGCTATGTTTTCTGAACGCAGCCAATGATTCTTAGTGTGATATTTCTATAAGGGTATATAGTAACATTCTATTAAATAATCTTAATATCGACAATGCATATCAACAGCGACGCATTCTATCAATACAATACGTTTTGTTGATGAATATTATACCAGCTTAATATACTATTGTTTATATATATCGTCGATATTAAGATTATCTAATAGAAAGTTACTACTTAATACGCGTATCAAGTGCACGATGTAAACCAAGCCTATTAGATAATCTTAATGGCTTGGTTTACATCGGGCACTTGATACGATTACTAAATAATGGGCGGTATTCATAGTCGAATCTTATTTCAAGACTTAAATAATGTCTTAAGATGCAAATCTTAAGCTCTGTGATTGGTTCATGACATCTTAAGACAGTACTTAAGATGATCTTAAATATAAGATCGGACTATAAATACCGTCCAATGACTTTCTATTAGATAATCTTAATATCGACGATATATATAAACAACGGTATATTAAGCTATATAATATTCATCAACAAAACGTATTGTATTGATAGAATGCGTCGCTGTTGATATGCATTGTCGATATTAAGATTATCTAATAGAAAGTTACTATTTAGTACGCGTATCAAGTGCACGATGTAAACCAAGCCAATGGGTGTTTCCGATAATACCTCTCCAAGTAATTTCCCTAGAGCAGAAATAAGTTACAGACATCATCATCTACTACTATTATGTGATTCATGACAACCCAAAGCTACCTAAATGCTGTCTCACGACTGCAAGTAGTAGGTTAGGCAGAACAATACCGTGACAAATACACGAGATAATAATTTTGTAAAATTGTATTATTAATTATAAATTCATCTGGTGTTGTTTTCTAATAAAATTTTATTTATTCTTAACTAAAGTTATATAACCATTAAAATATATATTATATTTTTCAAATATTATCCTAAAATAAAAAGTCACACTGTTTTAACCTATTTGCAAGTATTGTTTTTACATGACTCGTGCAGATGCAAGTCCACAATAAATTATGCCATTAGGATATATTGATAACAAAACAAGACAGATTTAAAATCTATTTTAATAATGTTAATATAGTTTATTGTAATCAAAACATAATGCAAGAACATTTATATAAACTTAAAACAATAAATTATTATTATTATAAATTATTATTATAAATTATTTTAGTACAGCAAAATTTCAAATTCTTTTACTTGTCAATGAATATGCTACAACAATGTTTTCAAAAAAATGTGGAATCTTTATATGATGTTCCCGTGGAGATTGGAAGTTATGCTCATCATTTTCATCAAATAGGTGATCAAAAAATATTTCCCACATTTCTGATACATTCATTTTTTATCTAAAAATGTTTAGTTGTAATAAGTATTAAAGTATAAAAGAAATAACTCAAATAATGTTAAAAAATAGTAACATTAAGAAACGTTTGTAGAATTACATACAATTTAAAACAAACTGTGCAAACAAATCTATTTTGTCTTGTCATCAATATACCCTAATGGCATAATTTATTGTGGACTTGTACCTGTACGAGTCATTTAAAAACAATACTTGCAAATAGGTTAAAACAATATGACTTTTTACATTAAGATAATATTTGAAAAATATAATATATATTTTAATAGTTATATAACTTTAATTAAAAATAAATAAAATTTTATTAGAAAACAAGATGAACACCATGATTTTATAGTCAATAATATAATTTTACAAAATTATTATCTCGTGTATTTGTCACGGTATTGTTCTGCCTAAAGGCCGTGGCACACTTAAAAACTTAAACTAAAAAACTTAAAAACTTAAAAACTAAAAAAACTTAAGTAGTAAGATGTAAGCAGTAAGCAAATTGACCAATTATAGTCGTTGATTCTTGGACCGTAAGAAGAATCAATGACTGTGATTGGTCAATTTGATTATTGCTTACGTTTTACTGCTTAAATTTTTTTGTGTGCCACTAGTCTAAAGGCCGTAAAAAATAGAAGCGGATTCAAAAAGTGGAAGTGGAGCATCTCAACAAGAGAATTTTGTTTTGTTTTATAATAACATGAAATTTTTAAATAGCCATGTTAATATTTTTTTATTCTTACAGAACTTTTACAAATATTTTACAAGATAAGAAGAATAAAGAAAATATTCCAAAAACTTCATTCATTCCAGATATTACTGCAACAACTTGTTCTTCTACTATTTCTAAAACTCAAGCTTTATTAGTTCCAACAAACTTATATACGAAGTATCCATTTGCAACAACGTCAAGTGTCATCAATCACGACTTGCTTAATATTGCTAAAACAAATACAGATAATAAACAGTTTGAATCATCTACCACTTCTTCTGTTGAAACACATAGCGCAACATCTGGAACATGCTCATCTCCAAAATTTGATTTCCAAAAAGAAAAATTGTCGATTACATCACTAACGGTTGTGCAAAGTGATATATATATATATATATATATATATATATA